AAAAAACATCCAAATCTTCTGCTTGGAGTTGATGTTCATTACCAAGGCTTGGGAACTGATACAGCTCCTGGTGACTCATAGTGCTTGCAGGGAGGTCCAATTTGGAAATAAATGAGCAGATTACTTCTTTGGCCTTAATAAAATTGATTTTATCTCCTTGCAGCTTTATGTTCACTTCATTCAGCTTGTCAAAAACATCAGCGAGATAAGCTACATCCAGATGTCGAAGTTTAAGAGAACTGCTTAGACTTGGAACAATGGATTCAAGAAATTCAACAACTGTGTCAAAAAGTTCATGGAATCGCCACAGACACTTTCCTTTTGAAAGCCACCTTACTTCAGTGTGCAAAAGGAGACATTCAAACTCCTCGTCATTTTCTTAACAAAGCTTGTGAAAAAGTCGATTGTTCAAGGCTCTTGACTTCATTTTATTTACAGCATTAATGACGTGACATAAGGACTCGTGCAAACGGCCACTCAAATTTTTTGAGACAAGGTGCTGTCTATGAATGACGCTATGGACAGTCATAACTCCCGGTACAACCGATTTTAGATGAGCTTGAAATCCGCGGTATTGTCCAACCATGGATGCAGCTCCATCAGTTGCACATGCCACAACGTTTGTCAAAGGGATGTTTTCTCATTAAGCAAAAAAAGCAAAGCGTGCTGCTTATATACCGCCCCATAGCACTTCAAGCACTCTCTGGGCAGTTTACAAGTTAATTATGCAGGCTACATATTGCCCCCCCAGCAAGCTGGGTACTCATTTTACCGACCTCGGAAGGATAGAAGGCTGAGTCAACCTTGAGCCGCTACCTGGGATTGAACCCCAGGTCGTGAGCACAGTTTTGGCTGCAGTACAGCAGTTTAACCATTGTGCCACGAGGCTCTTAAGAAATTCAACCTTTTTAAATATCAAAAAACCTTTTGTGTCAGTGGCTAAATTTCGAGCAAATAACAGTTCTTCCCCAGTCTCTTCATTTCCGTTGATGAAACGGATGTAAGCCAATAACAAGGCTTCATTTTCATGAATTGTTGACTCATCAATCTGCATCATGAATTCTGTACTTTTCAAGGTGTCAATAAGCCTTTCTTCCACATCAGAAGACATTTCATCAATTCTTTTTGATACAGTGTCATTGCTCAAAGGAACTGATTGTGTGACAGTGCTTGCGCTGGGCCCCAACATGGTGACAAAAATCTGTTTTACTGCTGGTAAAATCAGTGTTTCTCCAATAGTGTGGGGTTTGCCACATTTTGCTATCAACAAAGATACTTCATAGGAACAAATGAGCCCCTTGTTGGGGCTGAGTGACGATTTTCCAAATAACTTCTCAACAGTGCTGCAACCCTCAATCTTGGCCTTTAAGGATTGGAAAAACGATACCAGTTTCTCAGCTTTATCCAAATGAATTTTCACCAAATGGTCTTTCAGTTGGGAAGGCTTCATCGCTTCATTTGAAAATGATTTCTCACAAAGAGTACAACACAGAAACTGTGCGTTGGAAGGAGATGGAATGAATCCCAATTTTAGGTATTCCGTTCAATATTGGCAACACTTCCTCTTCTCGGCCATATTGAGAGGTCTTCAAAATGAAAGAGGCGATGGCAGCTGCTCTGGATCTGCCTGCTGGATCATAAAGGAGGAATTTTAGATCATAAAGTAGGAATAAAACTGAATGGGTTAGAGGTAAAAAAAATCTTTTATACCCATGGGCAAAACAAAAAACAAGACATGAAAATGAAAAAAGGGTGCTGAGGTTTTTATCTAGTGGAAGTCACTCCACTGATAGACGGCACTGTCCTCTTTCAGAAGAGGGAAGGAGATAGTTTTCAGTGATGCGCCTCCCTCTTGCAGACCACTTCAGATCTGCTGTAAAGTGTGAATTGGGTAACTGAGCTTGGTGTGGTGGCAATGGAGAATGAGGACAGCACAGGAGAAAGAAAATTGGGGTAGGGAAGCAGCCTAATTTCTCCTTCCACCAGCAAGATGATTCTTACTGGACACAAGCCTGTGCATTGCAAAGCTCGAAAAATCCAGCTTGTTAAAAGCTTCACTTTATCTTCCACAAAGTACCTCCAACACTTAAAGGTGCCTAAAGGGTTGCAATTAAAAGCAATATGTCTTCATGGCTTCTGGCCACATCCTGATGAAAACACAGCCAGGACTATGTATTAATGGCCCATTCTAGTTTCACCAAAATACTTCAGCTACAAGTCCTAACAGAATCTTAAGAATCGGAGAATCTTAGAATGTTAGAGTATTTGTTTGAAAGGAAAGGGATATTGATTTTGCTGCTGTCTGAACTCTAAATTCAAGATAGCAACCCACTTGGGTCTCAAAATAATTTTTTTGAAAAGGCAGAGCAAAGTTAGAGAGAAATTCTGTAGATAGTAGACTTTGTATTAAGGAAATAGAGCAGCAAATTAGGGTTGTATATTGCCTTGTAGCAGTTTAAAATTGTTCTCTTTTTTAATTAGCATAAGGTATTAGCATATGTATTTATTTATTTATATTTATTTTATGGGGATTAGCATAAGGTATTAGCATATGCTAATACCTGAGCATTAGAGGATTGTGGGAGGAAAACCTAGCTAATGCTTTTGGAGGGAAGATTTCGAGGTTTGCCTACATCAGATTGTCTCTGCCCTTGTAATAGTGATAAAGTTGAATCAGTGGGTCATGTTCTCCTTTTCTGTACTGTACTTGTTATCGGGATCTTCGTATGCAGCTTTTATCACCTATTATCTGTAAATCTTCCGGGAGATCAGAGGAGAATTATGTCCAGCTGTTACTCTCTGACAATACCCCTAATATTACGAGACAAGTGGCCAAATTCTGTGAGGCAGCAATGGTTATTCATAATCAAATGTTTGGGTAGGTGATTTTAGATGGATATGTTTTTAATATAACTCTGTCTGAGCTTTTCTTATATTAAGGATACATGATGTTATTAACTGGAAAGAAGGGGTTGTTTTATCATGTTTTAATGGAATTTTATTACCCTGACTGATTTTACCAAACTATAATTATATGTATCTATTTTATATTGCTTTGGTTTTACTGGTCTTTGACTGTAATAAAGTATTCGAATCTTCATAAGGTATTAGCATATGCTAATACCTGTGCACTAGAGGATTGTGGGAGGAACACCTAGCCCATGATGGGGGTCCTGCAGAGCACCCCAAAACACTGAGGAGCTCTCTTGGCCTCTGGCGGGACTGGGGCCGTGTAGCCCTCTACTGAGTGGGAGGTGCAGCCAGGGAGTCACCATGACTTTGGGGGTTAGGGGACAGAATGAGGTAGGAGATGCAAGGGCTATTCCAGTTCATACCTTACAGGGAAAACACCATGTCATAAAAATGGTTTTCTCAGGGGGAGGCTCATCTATTGTACTTGGGGTGTGTTGCTAATCCCTGTGATTTCCTCAAATGTGGGGAGCTCAACTGCATAGTTTATGTCACTGTTTCTTAACCTTCAGTTATTCAGGAGTTTTGGACTGCAACTCCCAGAAGCCTTCACCACCAGCTGTCATGACTGGAGTTTCTGGGAGTTGCAGTTCAAAAGCATCTGAGTAACAAGATTAAGAACCACTGGTTTATGTTAATGGGAGATTGCACTTGTGATTAATCCTGGTTTTTCTAAATTCCTCTTCATTCCTATTTTTTCTCAAGGCCTATTTCA